TGTTTTCATCTTTAACAAACAGTTGTCGATAACTGGAAAATATTTTATATTTTTCATATTTTATCACAAACAAAAAAACATAAACATTTCCCAATAGTTACATTTTTGATTCCAGAGTTGCAAGATTTACAAGACTTTTAAAAACAAATGAGTGAAATTTCTTTATATTATGATTCTTGCGTGATAGCAACAGTTATTTGCATGATCTCTGGTTAAAACGATAATCAAATCTTATATTCTAAATCCGTTCCACTATGTCATGTCATTATCACTATGACCCTCGGCGATCCTTAGCTGATAATTCATCAGTGAAGATTTTCCATTAGCTGCGAAAAAATCAATAACAATTTAAAATAACGAATATTTTTATTTCATATATTCTTTTGCTTCTGCAGAAAAGAAGTGAACATTAATATATTGTTAATCAAATAAATTTATTCATCGGTAGAAATTCAATATGGATGAGGAAATTTTAATGCATAAAGAATAAGATTTACGGCAAAAAATTTTTTCCAGTAACGTAAACAATTCGTAAGTTTTCGATGGGTCTGAACACTTGTTTGAAGTTTACTACTGTTAGCAGAATTATCCATGAACTTGCCCATGCTCATACTATTTCAGGTTTGGTACCATTACGCATTGTAACCAATTCCTCCGCACTTGTTGGATGAATAGCTACGGTTTCATCAAAATTCTTTTTCGTTGCGCCCATCTTAAAAATCCTTTGAATTTCAAAAAGATTACTTACTTCTCGACTTTCGACAATTGGAAGTATAACTCACCTTGATGGCAACGGCAAAGCCTTGCAGCATTTCGTCACATCCCTCGCCAAGCATATGTAAGCCCACAATCTATAAATAATATTCGTACAAGTCCTTCGGAGTTTCATTTCAAACTCGTAAATGAATATTTGAAAAAAGGAGATACTTGTAGAACTGACATTATCCATCGCATACAAAAGATTTACCCGTTCATTTTTACCAGCACAAATCAGTTTCATCACTGTTGGTTCTTTGTGCTGAGTAACAGCATAATACATGGAATTGAACTTCGTTTTATAAATTGTAAGATTGTTTTTTCCATACTGCTCGATAGCTTGTGCTAAAATTAAAATTTTGCAAATTACATAAACTAAATAAAAATCTACTGAAAATGAAAACAAATTAAAATGAAACAAAACTAAGCTTCGTTACAGGAACTTAAATTTCTGGCATTGTTTCGAAGATTGAAGATAATAAATAACGACTTTCACCCTCCGTAAGCCCAACGGTTCCCAGTGGTGGATGACTAAATACAACGCTCGGAATATTTTCATAATCCAAACGAATGTTTTCATTGTTAAACAATCTGTGGGCAAGACATCGGCCAGCAGCAATTGCGACTGAAGATATTCATTAAAATCATCAACCATATAAATTTGTCGAAGTAAAAGAGCAACCACTTTTTGAATATGTTTTTCTAAAATTAATTATAAATAATCCTTTAAACTTCTCAACAGGTTGTAACATTCCAAGTAAAGAAATAAAAAGTGGACGAAAAAAGTACTGGTAAGTCAAGAAACTTTTCAATGCTTTGGAACGCTTATTGCAAAACAAAGTCTAACACATGTACACACATCATTTCTCAAGTATTGGTCACTGATGTGAAAACTGATTCAGCAAACGACCTGGTGTTAGCAATGCTTTTCCACAGCAGTCTCCTACTGCGTAAATATTTTTGGTTGATGTATTCTGATATTCATCCACAATCACATTGCCGTTTCTTTCCGTTTCCACACCCTATAAAATACGCTTATTTCTGAGAGCGTTGTTTTGAGAAGATTGATGAAAGTTTCAGTGTAAAATAAAGCTACAAACTATATAATTCAGATTTAAATCGCGTGTTGCAGGAATGCGGCCAACTGCCCAGATTAAACTGTTTACTTCATCAATAGTACCATTTGTTGTATTAATGGTGAGTAGTCCATCAGGGTTCCTCACCACTGATTTCACCTGAAACGGTGCACACTATAAATAAACTTTTATAAGCGCAGCATTAATATATGTGCTAATAATATGTGTCAAAGGATCTTTCAAAATCTAAAGAAGCACTATAAAGGAAGAAATGCTAATATTAAATTAATGGATTAAATCGCTCTCTACCCTGATAAAACTCTCCTAAATGTACTACTCCGGTTAATTCATTTGATTTAACTGTGAATGAATTAAGAGATCGTATAGCGAAAAAATTGTTTCCTCCTCTTCGTTATCAGCTCAATTTACCGCTGCATATCCATGTTAGGGCTACTATTAACTGACTAAATTGAAGTTTAGATGCTCTTGAGATGTATCAGATCTCACCTATATATTGTCCAGCTTTTGTCAAAATGCGGAATGAAAAAACTTTTTTAACAACAATATATTATGCGTAAAAATCGAATATGATAGAAAAAAATATGACTTGCTTCCGTATTTTTATGAAGTTTCGTTGGTCCCTTATCAATAGATTCTGTTAAACATTCAGATAATGTATGATCAAAATTCCACAAAACTCTTGGTTTTCGTATCAGCAAATGGACATCAGATCCCAATGCTGATAACATAGATGATAATTCGGTCGCTATATAACCACCTCCCACTACTACCGTACGTCTAGAATAAAATATTTGCAAAGTCAAAAACTAATTTATGATCATGCCAGTAATAACACGCTAATAAAGAATAAATCTTCATCTTTATAATAAAGTGGAGAAAAACATTTTCTTCAAAAATTCACTTGGGTAAAACGTCAAGATGAAAGAAGCCATCACTATCGATGCCATATTCTGCTCCTGGGATGTCAGGCCTCCTTGGATATCTGCAATCATGTAATAAAAAAGACTGTTATAATATTTCACATCAAAGTTATAACTTCAAAATAAAATATTCTAAAAAAAATATTTAACACGCACTTACCCTCCAACGGCTATCAATATGTGCTTTCCTAAATACTTTTTGCCATTAACGTCAACAACACCATCAATCGTAAAAGATGCTTTTCCTCGAATCAATTCGACTCGTGACTAAAATAAATGTGCAGTTAGAAAAATAAAGATAAAACTGTGAATAATAATTGGAATCACTGAAGCACCTAACCACTAACAAACAGAGTGAAAGAGTATCTAATAACCTAATAACAAGTAACTTAATCTAGCGTTTCTATGTTACAAAATTTATCATTTATCGTGGATTGTTATATAGTTCATGTGTATACCGTTTAGTTTTTTTACATTCGAATTATTGTTAAAGAGCATGTAAAAAATCTTTTGTGTAATATTTGAAATATCAAAAAAAAAAACAAAAAACGACTGCTTGGAAAGTATTTCACCACATAAATTCAGATATTTAGTGATGAATTAATGAGATAAGCAAGGCACTGAACAAGAAGTACTAATGAAAAGATGAAATCTCAACAATACAACTTTATCTCAGCATTAAACTGTTCTCTATTAATTGATATAAAAAAGAGCTTTATATCATTGAAATTTTGAAAAAAAGGAAATGCAAGGAAGAAATAACTAACATTGGATAAATTTGATTCATATATTGTATTTAAACGTTTGACATATGCATCGCGGCTATCCTTTATTTTTCTAAACCAATATGTAATTACTAATTTTTTTTAAATACGTAATTTCTTTAAAAAAATTTTTGGACTTAAAAAATAAACAAATTCATAGAGCATCCCATATACTTCTAAGACCAGTGCTAATGATGCTTGCGATCTTTAGAAATGACAAGTTTAAAAAATCATTTCAATAGCTTATGACCATTCTATGAGTTGGTACCTAACGTTTAAGCTTTAAAGTTCTAAATAGCAGGCACTGGATCAAGAATTATCAAACAATCCTTTTCCCCAAAATGCACTAATGACTAGTCGTTGTCATTGCAAAGTGATAAATCATCGAAGTTTTATTCGTTTTTTGAGAATTTCTTGCAGATATTTTTTCATTTAGTGCAAATCTCAACATTTGAAATATCCACTATGAGATTATAAAGCCCATTTGTTCAACTTTTTTTTAGGATCATTTAAACAAGAAAAATATGAAATTAACTACTTCCAGCTGAATCCGTTCAGTATCACATCAAAACCATAATCTGAATAATTGGTGATTGCTTCTGCATGGCGAGAACAATTATACATAATTTTCTTCGGTACACATCCCTTATTTACCTGTTGAAAATAGTCACAAAAAATTCAAAAAAAATAAACAAATTTAATTCTTCCAAATAAGTCATATTAAAACATCTCCATCTCTTTGAGATTAGGTAAAACTAACGCATGTACCACCAAGATACGTTTCTTCAATTAATCCCACAGATGCATTGAATTCAGCAGCTCGTCGAGCACTTGCAATACCTCCAGAACCACCACCGATTACCAAATAATCATATGTTTTTATCGAATCACCACTGCTCATTGTACATCTGTTATTACTGAAAATTTATTTAAAACATTGAACTTATAAAAAAAAAACAAACAAGCGGGCAAACGAAGTTTCATATTAATAAATAATTTAAATTATATCATGGAAATTACACAAGCAGTGATATCTATCTAGACAGTCATATTTCAAATGCTCCTTACGATATATTATGAAATCTCTTATAATTCACAAGAACTGATGTATGCAGTTTCTTTGTTGTAGAATCAGTCAAGTGGAACCAATGAGCAAATCGATGTCGATAACGACAAATGAGAATTGTGCGATTCATCGACCAATGTAAAGTGCAAATTACACGTAGAGCAGAAACAGATGTGACAATGTCATCCACGGGAACTCCGCCTTCTGTAATGCCTCAATCGACATGCTTTTTCTCCATAGCAACACAAATATGTAATATAAATTAAATTGTTTCACATTTTTAAAATGTCTCTGAATTTCAATTCTCCAATTTTTTCGAATCATTACTTACAGCTAATTTAAGTGAATACTTTCAAAGTATTCATCCAAATTAACTATAAGCGATTTAAAATTACTCGAACACTCTCGTAAGATCATGTCATTGCAAAAAAACCTCACACCAAATCAATTATTTTTTTTTCATTTTCATACCACTGCTTCTGCCGATCATTTTGCACAAATTCTTAAAACATATTAATTGCGCACTTAATGTGACGATAAAATATCACCGGGATAAATTAGTACTTCATAATAGAAATTAGAAACAATAACATTTAAAATAACACACACACACACACACACAAACACACACACACACACACACACACACACACACACACACACACATATACATACACATATATTGTTGCAATAAACTACTCTTTTCCATTATCTATTTCTACCATGATGAATATCATCGACAAACTAGCCTGAGACACAAAGTTGATTTTTTTTATCGATTGGTATAAAAGAAAATTCGCGAAAAAATGGCAATGTATACATTTATACATATATATTCCGCTTGTAAAATAAAATCAAGCTAAATAAATGTTCCAAATACTTTATCTGTCTATCACATCATAAGTGAACAAAAAGAAAAATAACCAATCCCTATCGAAACATATTCAAAAAAGTGAAAGAAGGAACGATATAAACAACCAAGAGGGATGCCAGCAATCTTTTGCACCAGTTTTTGGTGAACTTCTTTAGAGATGACTAACATGATATTGTCAATTTCATAGTTTTGCCTTTTCTACTCTTGCAAATGCCAGAACAAACCGGGAATTAAGAATTGAGAAAAAACAAAAGTTTTCTACTAAGCTGAAAATAAACTCAAAATCAGAACCTTTCCAGAAAAATTCTATATTTTGACCAGCGAACCACATATGTAGCTTTTGAATTCAGTTTTTTATTATTTAAATTACTGAGAAATTCGATGAAACTCACCTATGTGAAAGATATAAAGCATCATCTCATGTAAACAAACATTTCTATTAAACAGCAAAATGTGAGTTAAAGAAAAATAAATTAGAAAAAAGGATAGTCATATAACATTAATAAAGAGAACAAATATTACAAGGCAATAATTGGTTACCAAAATAAGTAACGCGCAACAAAACCGAAAAAACCTAGAAAGCAAATAAGTGCAGTCATTTTGAACAGTGTGCTTTTGCGATTAAGCAATCTTGCATCTTCACGATACTTCTTACTGATATCTGACAAGTCATTTGCCCTCGTTTCCAAAACTGATAAAAAATTTCTTTTTATAAATGCATTTGAAATAAATCGACACTTTTTAAAACAGATTTCAATCAAATCGGATATTCAAACATTTTACTTATCCAAAATTTTTAGCATTGTATGTCAAACTAAATTTTATCTTCCTGAATAATGTCTAATTTATTTTAGCAAATAAAAAATAGTTTAATTATTCATTGCAAAAAAAAACTATGTATGCATTCGCTATTTAGTAATGCAATCAAATTTATCAAGTAAATGTTTGTAGTTCGTTCATGAACTGACAGCATTGTAAAAAAAAAATAAATAAATAGAAAAAAAAACTTACTGTTTAATGCCTCACCACGATGAATTACATCTTCAATATTTGAAACCATTATGCGTGTTACATCTTGAAGTTCACTACTTACTGCAGATATTGCATGACGACTCCTGCCTGCATACTTTCTTTTTGCCTGCTGTATGTAGTGATCTAAATGTAACATCCGATGCAAGTATAAGGAATAAAAAAAAATCTTTACTTATTTAAAGTAGCAGCAATACAATTTTGGATGTTGTTAGACTTTCTGAAGGATTTAGTTATCAAAAAAGTAAATCTTCTCAAGAATTCTACACATGTCAGTATCAATCACTGTAATATTACGATCTATAAAAAAGCTCTATCAAATTACAAAATGCAGTATTCTACACTACTAAATGAAAATATGTAAATTTGAGTCTGTAATGAATATAAGAAAAAATCGTCTAAATTTAGAAAAACGAACCAAACTCAATAAAATGATACGGTCTAGTGACAGATGCTATGCGTGTGCCATTTTGACCAAGAAATTCATCAGTGATATCTTCCAAATATGCAAAGGCGGATTTCCGTGAAAAATTTTTGTCACAAAGACATAATGAACACACTGGTCTTTTGATCACGTAACTGTAAGATAACATCAGTAAATATCTAATCTGATTTAGCATTCCAGTTCTCAGGAGTTGCAAATACTGTATAATGAATTATTTACTATTTTTTTTAAGATTGTTACAACAACAAACAAACTTTTATAAGAAGTGTTGAACGTTGAAAGAAAAAGAACTAACTGAAAATAATAAGGTCCACTCTGAAGAGTGTGTACAGTGGGACTGTTGTCATTCAGTTTCCGAAAAAGCATCTTCGCCTGATTAGTATATTTCACCATATTATGATCTGGCTGAAAACGTTATTTAACTTATCAACTTAAAAGTATTACCTAAGTTTTGTCATTTATTAATCTCCTCAACAGAAATTTCTGACAGATACTTGATAAGAGTAAAATATTCGAACGATAATTTTTCATTTCTAAATTTGCTTCAAAGATAACAAGGCCATTTTACCATTAGAGCGTACTCTATGTTTTTTAGTCGTTCGGAATCCTAGCGTTATTCTTGATACTGCTAATACCACAAAAATTTAAAGTTTGGGGAAGTATTTGAAAGAATTACATGTCGTTTTTCTTTAATAGGATTCCTCACTAATTCACACTTTAGCTACAATTGAAGTAAATCAAACTTCAAATAAACGAACCTCATCCCCGCCCTCAATTGAAGTAGCAAGAATGAGACCATCGGTTACACGTGCAATTAGCGTTAGCAAAACCATTGCCGTGCAAATCACAACCCTCAAAAAATATTTAAAATTCTCTATCTCAATGAACAGAAAAGCGCACACTATCTGGAATACAGCAATGACACAACTTAGAACTTTTCTAGCGAAAATGACTTTAAAAAGTTCCGCTACCTGACGAGTTACTACTCCCTATGCTAACCAACAGAAATCTTTCAAATGCAGCATAAGTATACGTCTACGCACACGTAATTCATAACGAACACGCCTATTATACGTAGCCACTGTGCAACAAGGCATCTCATCAACAACATTGACATGCAATCGCATAACTCAAACTTTATAATACTCTACTCGAAGTGTCGTAATGGATCCTATTTTTCAGGTCTTATTTTGCAGTTATATGGTCTACAAAAAAGGTCAAAGACAGTCCAAAACCAATCTATAGTTGGTTAGGGTCACGACCTGCTATCTATAACGTCTCGCTCGTGGCGCCCTACGATATATGTCTAAATAATCTGCTACTTTTCAGATATTGTTGTTATTCATGCCAACTTGTTATAAAAGTATGAAACAGCGCAGGTAGAACAATTCTTCAGGAAAACAAACAACATTTGATTGAACATGAGTGTAAAGTACCTATTAAAAAATGAACTTGTTCAAACAGAAAAGATACACATCACATGCCTGAAATTTTTTAAAAATCATTAAATCAGAATCCTATTAACAATCTTATTCTTCTCATGCTTTCTCCCTCCGAGTTGCAATTTCTTGTTAACCTTCAAGATTGGGAGAAAATTTAGATGTCAATCATTAAGATATAAATTCACTTGAACTCTATGCTTATACATTTCAATGTCAATATTTTATTTTCTATGTATTCTGGACAGTAACGAAAATGATATGAAAATATGATATTAACGATTGAACGAATCAGATACTTACATCAAAAAACACTTCAGATCACTTCGAATCATATTTCTGCACGGGATCATTCTACTTAATAAAAAGAAAAAATCAATTGTATATAAAAGTATGCATAAAATCAACGCCCGTACAGTAGATTCAATTTTAAACATATTAAAAAATTAGAAGTAAAATAAAGAGAAAAAGAAAATAGGATTTACAGTAAATAAATATATCCCTTACGCGTTCTGAGGCACCAACGAATTGCACTTGTACATGTTACCTGCACATTACATGTGAATTCAGTTTTGCAGCATTTGCTTTCATAATGTTTGAGAACTTATTGCAACATATTTACAAAATATAAGTGTATCGCAGAAGTGAAATTAGCGACATAATTTACTTTAACAAGGAAAATTCATACACTGCAAATCATTGATCAGCATATGTTGCATGTTCAAAACTTCATAGAGATCACGATAATATTGTACAAATCGAACTGAAAAAGATCAAAAAAATATGTGCAAATTGAAATGAAAAACAGAACAAATAATTCAGCACAAATATGTTAAAATTTTTTCACTCAGTTTATAACGTTTACAACTTTTGATATTCTAGTTCCACAGCACAGTAAATTTTTAAACGAAGAATAAAAACAAAACATACTAGATGCTTTTTTTTGTTCCGCATCACTAGACCAGTCCAATGCCTTTATCGTTATTTCCAGTAAACCATTCAATTGACAAATTTCCAAATCTTTTAGTTTTCTAATAAAATCATTTGCAAGCCGTCCAAGCTAGAAATTTCATACTTTTTACAAAAATACGTGAGACAAGCGTAGCCTTTAAACGTTCTGCTGTACCTTTTCCTACTACTGCTTTCTAGCTCGGTCTCATGGCGATCCCATAACTTAACTTTTTCTTTCATTGATAAAATAAATCAAGCCGGAGTAAAATAAAATAAATCAAAAAGAATGGAGTAAAATAAAAACCAGAGTGGAATGAAAACTATAACATACCATATATTTGATAGAAACTTTTCGTAGCCCATTTGATATTGGTATTTCTAACATTGACGGTGATTCCGTTTTCAATAACTTTGCAAACGCTAATAAATTGAGAAGATCCGTTTCCTTCAATAAAATCAAATTGCATTAGAAGTGCAATTAATAAATAAAAATCTTAAAATCGTTACCACTTCAACTTCTAGCAGAAATACTGAAATATTAGGGCAATTTTGATGACTTCTGACTAATTAATGAATGTAAATAAATGGATTACCAGCACAGGAAAAATGTTATTTGTTGTTCCAAGAGAATCATGGAACAGTTTATGCAAGTTGGGAGAACGCTTCCTCGGAATAGAAGTGAACTTTTCGGTAGTGATATACATAGCTAATCGGCACATATCAGAAAGCATGCTATAAATTTAGGCCAATAAATTACAGTGAAGAAATATATGCCAATATCTTATTTATAAATCTAATAAACAAGTAAACTATATTGACATTATATATAAAAAGTTACAACTTACTTCACCATTACCTGCCATTTCATGACACCTGAATAACTGTAGAATTCCGCGTTCAGCCTCGTTATAACCAAGTCTAATATTTCGGCTATTTCTGTTGCAGCAGCGTTCTAAAAAAAGTGTCGCAATAAATGAAAGACCACAAGAATTGAAAACGTTTTATATTCAAAAGTCTTTGAAAAAAAAATCTGTTTATAGTGACCATACTTTTTTCATCCTTTTTATTCTCATGATTCTTACTAAATCATCTTCAGCTTGTTTCAAAATGTCACAGTGTGAGCTGATAAATAAACCATCGGTTAACAGTTTTGCGAATTTGATCTAAAATAAAAGTGTCAATAGAATCTTTTACAAACTGTTTCAAAAAAAGAAAAAGAAATATGAACACAATTTTATCAATAAATCAAAAAGAATATATTACAGATTTAAAGACCTTGTGAAACTTTTTTCTCCAACAAGTTCGCTGTTATTTTTGATAAACAGTGATCCATCTATGTTAAACGTTAAAAAACCAAAGTATGCAAGACACAAAAAGTACTTTTTCATTGTTAATAATTTGTTCTTTCAATTCTCTTGCATATCGAAAACAAGCGTTGGCAGGGAGTTTGCAAGCACATTTTGGACATGTATATTGTTGCTTGCTTGATTTCTGTTCTCGTATATGCAAATCGGCTTCCTTTAAACCAGATTTAAAATAATTTAACATTAATCAGAAAAAAATGAAAAAAATAAAAACCCAAGTCCTTCAAATTTGAAATCTACGATATTTTTCTTTAAACTAACCTCAACACTAACAATACATTTACATCCTTGAAACTGCAATATAGGAACATTTATTCCCTGGCATTCAGCACAAACATCTGTAAAAATATTTTTCTCTCTAAAAGTAAGAAGCAAAATATCAGATCAGTAAGGCAGAAGATTTGATGGAATATTTGCAATACTTAATAAAAACAGTGAAAGACAAAACATTCTGAACCAGTTGAAAAAAGTCTAGAAACAAAAATCCTTGAAATTTCAGCTCTTCACACACTATTTTTAGCATTATTGCTAAAATATGCGTCACCTGGACAAATTTCGCCACATGGACTAAGACAAATATGTCCACATTCGAGCTTCTTGTCACATGAAAAACTGCATGGGGTAATGTTACATATTTGCCAGCACTGCATTTGACATTTCTGATGCTTGCAACTATTCATGCAACGCTGTACGCAAAAACTGCAAAAATCAGCACATCGAGCTCTTTGTTCCTGCAATGTGCTAGTGAAAGCGCGTTTTTTAAATCTAAAATTTGTATTATAATAATTTCTTCATAGAAGAGAAACAACATTATATTACACTTCAATAATAATGTAGTATCAGTGACTGGGATTTAAAACAAATTAAAAAATGCAAACCTCAAGTAAATTAAATTGTTGACCACAATGTAAATGCCCGCATTGATTTGAACAAGAAGCTATGCAGGGATCACAAGGTATTCCACATGTACGCAAACAATCATGACCGCAAGGAAGTCGTTTACCACAAAGTGACATACAACTAGCACATCCCTCTGTGAATGAATTGATTTATATAAATCCCATATTCTTAATTGCAGTTTCTTCATATAATGCTCGTTATGATCAAAAAAAGAAAGGAAGAAATTTCATTGCTCCAGAAAGCACAACTCGGAATAATGAGGACGTTTAACATTTCGAGAGCAGTTTAGCACAATCAAATTCTAATTTATATCTGATGATGAAGGAATCCATCCAGTCAATGAATTAGTTGTAAAGAAGCAAAAAAATAAATAAAAGGGATCATATGGGAATGGAAAATAAAAAGGATTTTAGTCATATCAAAATTCCAAAATAGAAGTAATTATTCTAGAGAAGGAAGTAAGAATAAATTAGCTTGAAATTATTTTCAAAACAATAACTCACCTAATGTGCAGTTTCCACATAGCGACTGACAACGATGACCACACGACAGAATTCGATCACACTTTTCACCGCATCGCGCATCTTCATAATTATGGCATAGTACTGTCCAATGATGATTACACGTAGCAAATGTTTTCTCTACTTCCACTGAGCATTTCGTTTTTTGTTTTTCAGAGCAGCAAGCTGTGACAGTATGTCCACAGTTCAATAAGACTTCCTGAAAAAAAAATATAATATTGTTTGTCTGTCGAACAATTTCGAATGGAATTGCTCAAAATGATCTATTGTAATCTCGATTTTATAAAGATTTTTCACTGTTCTGAAAGTTTAAATAATCCACCGGATAATACTGAAGTTGATAAAAAGAACATCATTATTAATCCAATAACGCCACCGCACGACTAAAATTAGATTGTAAGAAGTAATAATATCAACAAATGACCAATTGTCAACTCACATGTAAACACTTGCAAGGTTCGTTACATTTCTTTACACACTTATATCCACATGGCAATATTTTATCACATTTTTGTTGGCATACTGCTTCCTCGAATAGATGACAAACAACGCCAGTTGTATGACCGCATGGAAAAAGCTTGTTCTCAAAATACTGACAAGCACCACATGACTACAATTAGATTTTGACAACTTCTCTAACTGTAATTGAAAGTTTGCAAGTTAATCTTGGAATTAACAACTTAATAATGTGATAAGATAC